CAACCAAAGTCTCAGTATCGATATTCGATCTTTCTCAAGGAAAAGCTGGGTTAGGTCACGGTGAACACAAAATAGTAGGGGTGGAATACTACCTTACATACATTATATAGGCACACTGTAACTGTGCAGGGTGATATAATAAGAAATTGAGCTAGAATTAAGCGTATAAACACTGTATTGACTACCTGTTTGGATCATGTTTCTTGAGTGCATCTGGCCGTAAAGGCTGATTGTGTAGTTTGACACTTCTATCAGAATTCAATGATCTGTCTCCAATCTCCGATTCTTCTCCTCCTTCTGAATCTGCAGAGTTTCCGTCGTTCGAGGACTTACTTGGCTCGTCTATTTTAATGAGATACGCTTCATATCAAGAAAACAATATCACAGGAAAAACACCTGGCCTGACACTACCTAGTAAATTAATATAGAGTGGGTATTTGAAACTGTAAGGCCAAAGGCATACCCTGATTTTGAAAACGTTTCTTTCCGCGTTTTTCCTGCAGCTGCTTCTTCTTCTGTTTGTTGCTAAAAGGTTTTTTTCGCGGCATTCTTCAGCAATCAACTCAATGAAAACAAATCTTCGGGGCACAATGGATCTACCCTTTTATGTAACAGATTTATTTGATACTCTGTCGTGTTGAGCTTGGTAACCCTGCCTCCTTAAAAAAAGATGGCGGATGATTGCGGCACGTTGACGAGACGTTGATATGATTTCTCTTCCCCGACTATAAACTGCATCGTTTCGTCATAGTAAACTAAAAATGGTGGGTCATGATGTTCTTGGTTTGGCTGAGCCTTTAAACCTACCAAACTGAGAACAAATAACTTTCATTTTCAATCCTATATTTTTAGTCTGTTACTCTGCATACCGACTTAGGAGACTTGAAAATAGAACTCTTTTGCGAGGACACTCCTAAAGCCTGTGAGGTAAGAGGTAACTTTGGTAGAAATTCCGTACAGCCCCATACATTTATTATGCATGCAGCAATTTCATACTTTTTCACAGAAAGAAATATGCATATGGATGTGTCTGTACGGAAATCTTACCTTATTTATGTACTGTTTTTTTTCATGTTCATTTTATTTTTTAAACATTTTAATTATTTTATGGAAGACAAGATGGAAGAGAATATGAGCATTAGCCAGAATTTCACCTGTTAATAATGCACTATAATTATTGCCCTGCACATGCTCAAAATATAGCAGTTGTTTTTCTACACAGACCAGGTGTCATAGGTTTTTATTATGTCCTAAGGTCAAGGTTTGCTAAATGTAATCCTTAGCATCACTCACACAGTCAAGGTTCCTTCCCCCCCTCCCTCTCTCAGTCAGTCTCTCCATCACATGATAAAAGAATACTACCTTGCATGCCCCACAGACAATCTACGTCAGTGGCTCTCTCCTCCGCAGAGGCTCCCGCTGGGTATCCCTATAAAAATATAACAATAATAAAAAAAATAGAAAGCGCACAGGGGACAATGGGAAGAGGGAGCCTCTCTTCTCTCTTCCCCCTTCCCATGGTGCCCCTCATACTCTCTTTTTCTTTCTCCCCAGCCTTCCCACAACACAAAGAGGCCTCTGCGGAGGAGAGAGCATCAGTGGATAATACAGTCAACTCTCTCTAAGACGGACACCTTTGGGACCAGCACTAAGTGTCCGTCTGAGAGAGGTGTCCGTCTTATAGAAAGTCAAATAAAGGGAGTAAAGAAAGGCAGGGACCGACTCTAGATGTCCGTTTTACAGGGGTGTCCTTCTTATAGAGGTGTCCATTAAGAGAGTGGTGACTGTATCCACCTTTTGAATAACCGTAAAAGTGCTAGGGATTGTTTAGAGGGACATCAAAAACATGGCAGACAGTAGCAAGCCACCTGTTGAAAACACTCTCTAGGTTATTCTGACAGAAGAAGAAATACCTGCTATATTAGGGTCTTTAGGAATTCTGAAATAGTAAAGTGTAGTTGCATTTCTGAAACTGTAGAACTCAGTGCTTGGACTGAGCACTTGTAGTGTGGCATGTTTGTTGACCTTTGTGCTGTCTGTCCAATTGATGCCAAGAAGCTTGTGGAGGCATATCCTTATCAGTTTTTCACTCATTTAGAGCATGACAAATACAATTACAGTCAAACCTATATTAAGTAATCACCCTTGGAGAATTATTAGTCAACTGACTGCTTATTAGAGATTGACAGTTCTATAAGGTATTTGAAGTATCCATCATGTGTACAACAAATTGCCCTTATATCACTGACTTTTTCTTGAGCCAAAATAAGGAAATAAAAGATCACTAAATGCCATATACGGTGTATCTATTGCACTGGTATGGTGAACCTTGACAGTTAAGGGACCATTTAAAAGAGGCGAAGACAATAAAAACTCTTGTTGGGAGGTACAAAAAATTGATCATGACTGCTTAATAGAGGTGACTGCTTACAGTCAAACCAGGAAAACTGTGAAAACCAGAAATATTTCTGGAATGTTATTGTGGTGCAAGAAAAGAGCAAATCAGGTGTGAGAAAACTAAACTGCAAGCAAGAACATTAATAAGTTTGTGGTTTTGTGGCTTGCTCACATGTCCTGATATTTGCTGTGATTGGTCATAACACAATGAACATTCCTGAAATATTTCAAGTGTTCACTGTTTTCCCAGTCACACTGTAATACAGGTGAGTTTTCCTGGACTTAAGAAAGTGCCCGCTTAGTACAGTTTCCCTTAATACAGGTATGACAGCCAGTCATGACCTGCTCATGAGAAAAAATCCTCAGGACATCATTGGAAGTCTGTTCTTTAATTTGCCATATTGAGCATTCATGTAATTTGAAGCCAAAAGCAAGTCAAGCAAACACAACCTCAAAGACTTTGCTATGATTATCTTTTGCAGAACTTTTTAGCTCTCTGTGCCAGCAATTACTACGACAACTGCACTTTCCATAGGTAAGTTCCCTTAGTGAAAGTAAAGACTTGTTCAATGTACAATGTGTATTGATTCCTAACTTGCCTGGTACAGTATTCCATATATTAGTGGTTAGGAATAGACAAACAGGAATTTGACTTATGACTGCAATCATTTTATAATTTAGCATTAAAACATAGCATGTGCAAAATGGTGGAAAACACCTCTAAAATAAAAGTGAGAAACAATTCTCACCAAAACATTGCAGTCTAGTAATACTGTTATGATAAACAGTCTGTAAATCTGTACAAAATATAAAATTTATTACTCTGAGACATTCTGGGCCACTTCTTAGAAAAAGAAAGAAAATTGAAGAACATAGAGGTCAATGTAAAGTCTTCATTCATGTCTGTTGCAGTAACTTTTCTGTTAATTACTCCTTTCAAGTGAATCATGCAAAAAAAAATAATCAATAGTAGAGGTGTTAATAGTTGTGGTAATAGTGCTCATATTAAAAAGTTGTGCTTTAAAGTTTGCATGTACATTTTTTTACAGAAACATCAAGGGTTTCATGGTGCAAACTGGAGACCCCACAGGTAGAGTAAAAAGGTTTACTGTAATAGCCCACACCTATCAATGACTGAAAAGCTATTTCATTGCTGATTGACCTCTTGTCTTGACTGAGAGCTATAATTATTGAACACAGGTACTGGTAAAAGTGGCAAAAGCATCTGGGGCAAGAAATTTGCAGATGAGCTAAGTCCATCACTTAGGGTAAGTTTGGGTGTAGATACATTATACACTTATGCAAACAACTCAAATGAATGTGGATCCTGAACCCAAAATGATTATTTGTTTTCAGAGCCTTGAAATTGGGTAAAGCTTTCCTTGCAGTCAATAATGCAAAGGTCAGGGTATGATTCCTGATCAAGCTTGAATTTGTTCAAGATTTTTCATCCACTTAAGTTGAAAATTTAACTTGAAAGATCATAATACTTTCACTCCTTGCAAAGCAAGTTTTATAAATTAGTTGATATTACTTTTGCCTCATGATCCATGGATCACAAAGGGCAGTGGGATTTGAGTCACCTTCATACATATATGAATATAGATATCAGGCAATTATCTGCAGTTGACTGGCAACAGAAGTGCCACAAACAAAGCTGCATGTCTTTGGAAGCTGCATCTGATCATGAAGAGCAAAAGCTACATGTAGCCTAGTGCTCAATTACTTGAAAAAAGAAAACATTTAGTTCTCTTCAGCAGGATATTGACCAGAATGGGGTGAATGGGTTAAGTACTTAGATTTAATCAAGAGTATAGGATTTTGCTGCCTCAAGGCATACTCTGTCGCCTCCGCTGTGTACTATCCCAAAGTCCCAGCTGAAACGCAATATTTTCTTTTCTATTTCTTCTCTCTTTTGAGGGGTTTTTCCCCGTATTTCACACTGTTTGCCTTTTTCCAGACATATTTCTAGGCTAAATCTAATTTTGTTATCCCCTGACAGCATAATGCGAGAGGAACAGTATCAATGGCAAATAGTGGACAGGATACAAGTGGGTCACAGTTCTTCATCTGTTATGGCAAACAACCTCACCTTGACATGAAATACACTGTGTTTGGAAAGTATGTAACAAGTTGTTAAGTCTCAGTGCTACATAACATTTAAAAAGCTGCCCCTGGACGGGTAGAGCAAAGTGTAGCAAATCAATATTAATAATATGAATATTATCATTGTCAATCATAAAAGGTAAAAAGCTACATTTGTAAGGAGTTGAGCTGTAGCGTGTGATTCTATGTCATACATCTCGCAAAAGACAAAGGTCTTGCCTTGGTCTGTGGAGATCAAGTCAGGTGTGATCAAGGTAATTTACTTATTACTCAAGTGTAGGGGTCACTCCTGAAGGTTCTGTTAATCTCTTCTAGTTAATTTTCCTTCAAGTCTTGACCTGTTAGCCCATTGTGCAAACAATTGGAAATTTAAATTTGACCATTTATTAGTAGCTGAGTCATGTCTGAGCGCAACTGTTCAAGTCAAGGCATAAGTGACCGTTGTTGTTTATAATCAACAGGGTCATTGATGGTCTGGAAACTCTTGACGATTTAGAGAAACTGCCAGTGAATGAGAAAACATATCGGCCACTCACAGATGTTCGGATTAAGAATGTGACCATCCATGCCAATCCTATAGCAGAAAAAAGCTACTAGACTTTGGAAACTGCCTCAGAGTGATAGACCATTGTGGATTTCTCAAAGGAATTTTTCCTTCTCAGAAATTATCCTTGCTCAGAACACTTAAGAAATGACCTGTACCTTGTTCACATGCAGAGTTAAAGGAAATAATTTATTGTTGAATAATTTTCATAGTGCTATCTGAATGTCAAAAAGAACTATGTTGCACACATCACAGAATGGCCTTTGTTGAAATCTGACCTACTGAGCAGTGTTCCTGCAGAGACGATTATCGCCATTTTTGGTGAGATTCTTGTATGGGTTTTCTAATACATGCATTAGGAATTCAATTATTGTTTTAACAGAAATGCAAACATAAAACCAGACCTGTTAATACAAGAAACAAATATCTACATCCTTCTCACAACTGACTGTCTGATATCAATTTTAAAAAGCAAGTTTCCATTGAAATCTTTAAAATAATTTATGATACAAACAGGCTTTGTCATTTAATCCTGAACAGCCGTAGTTCACGAACAACCCAGAACAATAACACATCAGACTTGTAACCATTAAAGGAAATGGTTCTCTGCAGACCAGCTTGTTCTTGACACCATGTATCTGTTTTGTATTCCTCAAAACGCTGCTTGTCAGTGTCCATCTTTGCCTCCTCGTTTCCTTCACATGTACGAGGGTAATCATTTAAGTTCATCATAGTCTTGCAATCAGCTTCTAACAGTGGGCTCATCATTTGGTGGTATCTTAATGATTCTTAAGAAGCTAAGTAAGACTATGACTTGGCTGTAAGGCTTTGACAATGTGTTATAAGCTCCTCGCAATATCTACACACAACAAAAGTAAGCAAAACATTGTTAGTGAAGACACAGGACTCCTGAAATCATGATACTGGTTTGGCCATTTCTTTCAAGTTTTGCTTCAAAATTACCACACTTAGGCATTTCTCAGTTAACCTCTTCTAGAGATGATAACAATACTGTGAAAAACGTTGTTTATAATTAAATAAAGAAAAGATATCAGACATTTTTCCTCTGTTTGATCATTAAAGAGAAGTAGTCGTGAGTTGTGTGTTTACTAGGGTAGGTAACAAGTAACAAGCAATTGTAGAACTGTCTGTTTTACCTGGCTACTCTGTGCTTGTGCCTAACAGACTCAACCTGTTCTTTCAACAAGAGAGGTTGCACATGTGCTGCTTCTTTTAACACACTGAGAACTGCTTCCTGTAAATAGAGTAGAATTTACTATTATTTTCATCATTGGCTAACACTACATTCAAACCAGTCATCACCGAACTACCGTGCACCTGCAAAATAACACTTAGTAAATACCTATCCTTCCCTTAATGTACACCTCTACAAGACTGACACCTCGCTAATATGGATGCCAAGAGTTGGTCCCTGCCTTTCTTTACTCTATTTAGTTGACTCTCTTTAAGACAAACACCAAGAGTTCATCCCTGCCTTTCTTTATATCTTTTAGTTGACTTTATGACAGACAGTTCACTAAAATGGACACCTAGAATTTGTCCTTCCCTTTCTTTACTACTTGTAGTTGACTCTCTATAAGACGGAAATATCTTTTCCGTCTTAGAAGCTAATTTTTACCTTTATCTTTTGACAAAACCGATCCAAAAGCTGAGGATTTTACACAACTCGGTTGTTCTTCATGATACAATATACGAAAACAGAACTCCCCATTCCCAGCTACTCAAGATCCAATATCTAACCACTTACTCCTACTATTGTGTTTTTGTTAGTTGCTAGTTTTCTTATGTTTTTTTTTTTTTTATTGTTGTGTATACCTGAAAAGTTCACTCCAAAGAACTGGTCTTTGTAACAACGACATGGGTCCCTGGACACACTTTTCATTTAGATCATAGCTAATGTTTTACTGGCTATTCATTCAATTCCATCAGTTAATCCTGAATGCTTCAGGTGGGTTGCATCTACCTTATAATCCTGGCATACTGCCCTAATTAGTCAGATGAGCAAGAGTAATTTTACCTGTATAGAAGATGTTGGGTCATCAAGATGAACTAGAAGACCTTTAAACATGGCTTCCAAATGTAACTTGTACAAGTCGTGGTCGTACTTTGAAGGAAACGCTCTGGCAGGAAATGAGACACACAGTTACCATAAAACAACATATTATTCTGCATTACAATGAACCATACATTCGAGTGCATGTCTTCCACAAGCGCTGAAAGGTCAATGGGGCATTTCAGAACCCAAATGGCATACAAAATTAAATCGAGTCGAAAGTAGTCTGAGGAGTTAACACAGGCTCAGGATATGATAGTCCNACAGAACTCCCCATTCCCAGCTACTCAAGATCCAATATCTAACCACTTACTCCTACTATTGTGTTTTTGTTAGTTGCTAGTTTTCTTATGTTTTTTTTTTTTTTATTGTTGTGTATACCTGAAAAGTTCACTCCAAAGAACTGGTCTTTGTAACAACGACATGGGTCCCTGGACACACTTTTCATTTAGATCATAGCTAATGTTTTACTGGCTATTCATTCAATTCCATCAGTTAATCCTGAATGCTTCAGGTGGGTTGCATCTACCTTATAATCCTGGCATACTGCCCTAATTAGTCAGATGAGCAAGAGTAATTTTACCTGTATAGAAGATGTTGGGTCATCAAGATGAACTAGAAGACCTTTAAACATGGCTTCCAAATGTAACTTGTACAAGTCGTGGTCGTACTTTGAAGGAAACGCTCTGGCAGGAAATGAGACACACAGTTACCATAAAACAACATATTATTCTGCATTACAATGAACCATACATTCGAGTGCATGTCTTCCACAAGCGCTGAAAGGTCAATGGGGCATTTCAGAACCCAAATGGCATACAAAATTAAATCGAGTCGAAAGTAGTCTGAGGAGTTAACACAGGCTCAGGATATGATAGTCCGCATGGAAAAACGGCAGCTTTACCTACTTAGCTTTAGAAACCCGTGTGTCAATGGCAAAAGCCTTACGAGGTCAAGCTCCTTATTGTGCGTGATGTACTATTCCAATAAGAGGGCAAAATCTCTGTAAAGGTGAAGAACAAAGACCCCAATCTCGTTATAATGATCAGTGTGGTTCTGCAAGCATAAAATCTTTATTTTGGTCAATCGCACAATACTGTTTCCAACTTATAGCTACAATCCCAGACAAAGACCCCGTAACACTTTGGCAGACAAAAACCTATAAAAACTTTGGAAACTTTCGCTCCCTTTCATTTTCCCCCTCCCTTTTGCAATGTTTTTGTAGCCAGAAGACGTTACAATCACATCTCAACATTGCAGACGGAAAGGGAAGTGCATGGGTGTTTCAAGGATTTCTGGCGAGGATTGTGGCTCTCTTTGGCTGAAAAAAAGTAACAAACATTTCCTGAAACCATTTTTAAAGGGACGAAAATCGCTTAAGTTGGCCACGCCTAGTCTTTTCATTCCGCTTCTCAGAACGGGTCTAGACAATGGATGAAACACTCCTCTTTTTTAGTTAGTCTATCAAATATAAGAGCGCTCATGTTGTGGCTCAATTTTTTCCTTGGATCAAATTTTATATTCCTTTGCTTTTGGATATGGTAATGGTTGATAAACTTCCGTAATATTGATTAGTTTAATTTTTCACCTGATATTATATTGTATCCGTCGCCGTAATTTTTATGCCATCTTCGAAAAATTGTAATTGAGGACGCCTAATTAACATAAGCTCTATAGTTTCTTTTAGGCCTCCTCGCCATCTCTTCCTACATTTTGTTTTGACATCTTTTTTTTAATTATTGTAATCGTGTGGCAAACAAATAAAATACCTAAATACCTAAAGTACCTTGATGAGTTTTAAAAAACAAAGGAAAATGATTCAGAACCAACGATGAAATTGAACCATATCTACAAAGGTACTTGACTAACAGTTTATAATCCTCACCTAAAATAAGCAAGAAAGGTTTTGGTGACAACGACCCTAATTTCATCACTACTGTCATCCATTCTTTTCAGTAACTCGGGGTAGATTTGGTGAAGCATGTCCACTGAAAATAAACAGAAGGGACAAAGTAAACTTTACTTCCACTAGATGGTGCTAGTCCCAGAGTACCTCATCTGTAGCGACATTAAACCTAGCAATATCTGTTTGATTGCCTAAAACTATTTTCACCCAGTCACAGATCCTGTCATTCCCTTCAATGACAAAATGTTCTTTTGATTTGTTATTGCCTATTGCAACACTCTTAGAAACTTGGGTAGCGGCAGCGGCAGCCAAAATCCTACAGTAAACTGCCGCTTTTAAGCCCTCCACCTATGACCCCTCCCAGTTGATTCCAGTTATACGGCCTCCCCATAAATAAGACCTCTGAAAACCCCTTATGAAGATGTTTAAGCTAAGGGTCGTAAGCGGCAGTTTACGGTACTGTTTTGGGGATGTTCATGAACACTCATTTTAGACAGTTTGTACAAACAAACGACACAACCACCAAAGACAACATTCATTATTAGAAATAACCTGAGTGAACAGACTCTATACTTCGTTCTTCTGAGAAAGGAAGTTCTTTGGACGCTTGGAACAGAAAGCGGTGTTCAATCCACGTCTAACAGCCCCCTTAACTCCAGGTTTTTTGGCCTCCCTAACCAAAGACACTTAAACAGTTTAAATTAGCCACATCATCCTTCTAAAGTAACTTGCACTGAGACCAAGTCACTCTTAAGGAAATTGCATTCCTATCAACAAGTAGCACTAAAATCACAGTGACACTACCCCTGTTCATTCATTCTGCCACATAACTAGCGTAACTGAGAAAAGAAACACATTACCATTAAAAGTGTCTTTGCAGGATACCAGTAATCTTTGAAGAGCTTTACATGTTACAAGCCGTGTTGTTTGATTATGGTCGTCCAAGCAAGTTATAAGCTGTAAAAAAGATAACAAAAAGGCCTCAGTTTGTGAAAAACACACACACTAGTCTTCTATAAGTCTGTTCAGAGTTCAAGTGTGGATTTGCAATACCTGAGTAAGAAGATCCTTCATAACTTGCGCGGCATCTTGAGAAGATAACAAATTGGAGTTAAGTAACGCCCAGAGACAAGAGATAGCTGCAGAACGGACAGCGGCAGCAGTTCTGGAAGTAAAAGAAGTTCGTTACTTCACATTGTTGCTCAAATTGTCACAAAAATTTTGACATTGTCAGAAGTCCTGTTTAAAAAGGTGCATTAAATACAGTACACCTATTCAGCAGCATTCAATATGAATTTACCTTCCTGCCTGCCACACACAGTTAGGAATAACGAGTTTCTGTACAACAGTCACTGAATGTGAGCTAAAAGCGTTCTTTGACTCCACCGACTGGGAAGCATTCATGAGAAGACGTGACAACAAGGAAAACATCCTAAGGGTAAATCCAATCATAAACATCAATAGTATTAAAGTGCTACTCAAAGAAAGGTAGTCTCGCGCGTTTCGTGACGAGACAAAAACGGCTGCGAGGGAGTCTAAATGATAGGTCATTGGATCGTAATTGTAATTTCACAAAATACGATTTCGTTAACTCGCTTCACACCTCAGTCAAAATAAGTGTTATTAACGGCACAATAATCGTAAAGTATTAATTTTTAACACAGCTAAGTACAGCATTTTCAATATTTCTCAAGATATTTATCCATCACTGTGAGGTTCTTCTTTTGTGTTGTCTTGCAAGCATCAGCAACAATTCAGTTTCATAAGAAAGAAGGTAGATGGCGTCCAAGTGTCGATTTGCAAATTTTCTGTCACTACTTTTTAACTTATAGTTCTGGGGCCGGTTGCTCGAAGCCTGGTCAGCGCTAACCGTTGGTTAAGAGGTATCAAAATGTATAGGTTTCCATGGTATTTAACGCTGATTAGCACTAACCATGCATCGAGCAACCCGGGCCAGATTATTATTTCATTACAGAAGCCGTATATTGTTTAAAAAAAAAAAAAAAACAGAAACGATGTTACCAAATTTTAGTCAATAAATTATATCCAATCCATTTAAGTAAGTTTTAAAAATTCTTCCCTTCTTTGACTGAAGTGAGGTACGGCCAAACCTTCCGCAAGCAACCATCCAAAATGCCAAGATGTGGTGGTCGTCTTCAGAAGACGGTCACTCACAAGAGGCTCCAATTTATTATAGTGCTGGCTCCAGCTGTTCAAAATGTAGATAACTCTATCTACCGGATAAATCACTATCTACTGGAAAACGTAATTGGTTTCCCTCATACTTATCCACTGGATAGAGATTTATCTGGCCCGGCTTGTTCAAACGTTGGATAGCACTATCCACCGGATAAATCACTATCCAGTGGATGATTATTACAAGAACCAATTGTGCTATTCAGTGGATAGTGACTTGTCCAGTGGATAGCGTTATCCACCTTTTGAACAACTGGGCCCTGGTGGATAGCGCCATCCAACTTTTAAAAAACTGGGGCCAGTACAGGGCAAACTGATTTTGATGGTTGAAAAATTCGAGAACTGTTGGCACACAGACGTTCCACTTTATGTCGTCGTTAGGTTTTTGTATTCATGTATAATGAACTCTTTTTCGGCGGACACCCCTGTAAACCATTTCAGGCGGTTATCAGTGTCTAGTTGCTTCCGGTTCAATTTGTCTTCATTCTGTAAATTCTTATTATTATATGGCTGGTTTCGCGAGTGGGCAAGATGAAGGGAATATTGCGATTCTGATTATCTATCCGAAAAAACAAGCTTATCTTGCCCGGTCGACAATGGATCAATACTGGCTTCGTTCGATTTTGCAGTTTTATTGACCTAGACCTTGCCTCGGTTCATAAAAGGGCGAAAAAAAGAACTTGGCCAGTATCCAGCTATCTAAACCAAACACTTGATCTCTTTTAAGGCGATCNAATTCTTATTATTATATGGCTGGTTTCGCGAGTGGGCAAGATGAAGGGAATATTGCGATTCTGATTATCTATCCGAAAAAACAAGCTTATCTTGCCCGGTCGACAATGGATCAATACTGGCTTCGTTCGATTTTGCAGTTTTATTGACCTAGACCTTGCCTCGGTTCATAAAAGGGCGAAAAAAAGAACTTGGCCAGTATCCAGCTATCTAAACCAAACACTTGATCTCTTTTAAGGCGATCACCCTTGTTGGCCAAATCGGGCGGGCATCAGTTTCTAGTTGTTTCTGGCCAATTTTTTCTTGCCTTTCTGTAACTCTAAATACGATGGACACAGCTCAGCTACATAGCAGAAAACTAGCGCTTGCGTCAGTAGGGTGTGTGACTCACAGAGACCCCAGGAAACACTTATGTACCCGCTTACTTTAGTCGCAGCTCAGGGTCTTTCTTATGACTGTCTAAGCACTCTGTAAAGATGTCCATGGCATCTGTAAGGTGCCCACTAACTACTGGTCCAGATTCTGACAACAGCACATCAAACAGTCGACACTCTGGAGAATGATGAGTCCAAGAGGTATGGTTCTTCTAAAGAATAAAAAGTTGGAATGGTCACTGAGCAAATACGGTGGAACCTCGGTATGGCGAACGAGATTCTTCGCCCTAGTAATGGTAAAATATAAGCAAAAGAAGCAGAAAATAAAACCTCGGCTCTTCGATATATCGAGGTTCACTGTATTTGAAAGGAACTCAGGGGAAGGGAGGAGAAGTGAATGTCTCCCTAAAGGAGGTGAATGTTATCATCTACACCTATCGACTAGGCTATTGTCTACACAGTGACGGCAGTGGACTAGACGTCATTCAAAGGAGTAACGGCTCCAACTAATCACTGACTATAAACACAGACCATTAGTACGAACAAATGATGCCGACCGATCACTCAGTAATCATGCAGTGACTAAAAGCTCTGTCCACAAGAATCATAATAATTTTCGTAAACGGTCTTCAAGGTGGATAAGTATAGCTCCACAAGTCAGATTGTTCTTAAAAAAAGAAGTATGCCTAGTCTTACGATGTGTTTCCGCTTCAGCATAACCTAAAGTAGTACTGCTTACTTTAAGCTTCTCAAGGAACTCCTGAATGTGATTTTCATACAGCTTTGACACACTTTCCAATCTTTGCGTTGATGCAAGCTTGGTTAACACAACATTCACCTGTCAAAATGAAGTCAGAAACGCAAAACAGTAAATTGGATCCGATATTAAAACAGCACGTACATGCGCCAAGCTACAGTCGAACCACCTTGAGCGGACACTTAGGTAAGCGGACAATTAAGACGCATTCCATCAGTCAAAACTGCTTTGCCAGACCAGTCCAGTTGTAAAGAGATTTCCACTGTTAATCAAAAATTTCCAGCCAGGTCAGTCTATTCCTAATTATTAAAAACTGAATCATCGGATAATGCAATTCTAAAGCTCTGATTGGCTCAGCCATCATGGTATATGAGCCATTATACCATGCTCTCCAAATATGGTAACTGTACGCGTCTGCTCAAAATTAAAAACAAGCTGAAAATCGGTTGTTTTTACAAATAAAGTCGGGAAGAATTCTCGATATTTTGTGGGTGTTTTTTTAATTAAAACAAATTATTTAACAATTATTCCACTCGTACTTGTTGGATACGAGATGATTATAGCCAACTCGGCGCTACGCGCCTTGTTGGCTATCAACCATCTCACATCCAACGAGCAGTCGTGGAATAATTGTTACCTATAAATAGTATTCACCATTTTCACATAAACCATAATGCACCTTCTTTACCCCCCAAAATTTTGCATAACTACTATTTCCAATTTCTCCTGGGTATTACAGCCGTCCCAAGAAAAATCAAGGACAATAATTATGCAAAATTTCGAGGTGTAAGCAAGGTGTATTATGGTCTATGTGTAAATGGTGAATGCACAGTAATGATGGGTTTTTAGCGAAAACTTTCGAAAAAAGCACATTTCATCTTCAAAAAACCGGGTCTGGTCAATTTTTGGTAAGCACCATTAGTATTATTTTTACACTCCCTTTTACACTCCCATTAGAGGGCACCTCTCCTGAGGGACCCTCTCCAGGGGCGCAGCGTGCGATTTTGAAAGTGTATGCACGGGATGAAAGTTATAGCGCTGAAGGTGGCTTAGGCTGGGGGGATCTGACATTTAGGGTCTCGGAAATGCCATTTTCTACTTTTTCCGCAAGACATTTTCAGTAAATATATACGAAGAAAAATACAGTAGTTAGTTGTTTACTTTTCCCATCTCTATCGTTATCGGTAAGGTTACAGTAATAACGGAAAAAAAGGGTAAAACAATGACGCCATCAAGGAGGTTACAAGCAAAGGGCGTGACGTGCCGTCACTGACTAATTTCACTGACTTCAGCTGCGTTTTGCAATCATATATTCCTAATTTCAGTTGAGTGCACATATTTTTTTCCAGATTACATTTCAGCTGTACGCACGGGCATATGTGCTTATATGGATTCTACGCTCCTGCGTTCTCTGATACTCAGGGAGTTCTTTACGGGAGGTTCTACTGTACTTGCAGCAATAATGATCGATACTTCTGTCGCAATTTATACCTCTCGTTGAAGACTTCCTTGTGGCTGAAGAGCCATCACATGTATTAAAACGTAGAACAATGTGAAACTGTGTGCACCGGTCTCTTCACCAGCCTTGTCTACAATGGCAGAAACCGTCGCTAAAAGATGTTGTTGACAAGAAGACTGTTCTGTGCAGCAGACATCTTGTAAAGAAATTGTATTACATACGTCCTAGAATTGAGAATAGACAATAAAATATAAGTCGAGAATAAACATCACAACAGTGATTGAAAAAATGCAAATGACACTTTGATCACTTAAAATTAATTTGTTAAAACTCAGTCTGAGGTTTCAGGACCTTTGTAAGTCGCAGCCCATAAGGCCTATGTACAGCTGTTGGTTCAATAATACGAAACATTGTAGAGGATCCCATAGATTTGCTTACAGGTTAGCCAGAAAGGGTAAAAAGTGAGCGAAGTGGGCGAAAGCGATTGCGAAAGAGGGGAAGAGAAAGCTTCATGCCGAGACTTTTTTCATAACGAAACAAACTCTGAGATAGCCAAGGGTCCATTTGTGTTTTTTTTGGGTGAAGGAGTACTTGTACAGGGGATGCGCTGACACCAAGTCTACAAATATAAATATCTTATTATCCTTCCTCCAGTCCTCAAGCCCTTTGAGGGACAATTTTAACACTGTGTGAGGGACTTTACCAGAATACTTTTGTGGCACTGGTTACAATAAATGAATGCCCCTAATGTTAATGCGTTCCTCAGGCCTAAACGATTGAGAAGACCTAAGAAAATCTCCATGAGAGGCTAAGTTCCTGCAGGTTAATCATTCGTAAAGGAGGAACACATGACGAAGCCCTAAGAACGTCTGAGAGGTCAGAGGATTGCAGGAACTTACCTTTAGAAGAGGTTTAAGGAGCTCTGGATTACAACCCCTTATCAATGCCGCAAGAATCAATAAACAACTACTGCAACCAGTAGCAGAGCTGCCCGCTGCAGACTTGAGATGAGGGAGAGCTAACTTGCAAAACACTGCTGGATCAACAAAACTACCAACCAGCTCCGCACTTGATACAACCTTAGTAGAGTAACACATAAACTATCAATATTTGAAATTAAAATAACAAAGGAAAGGGACTTACGATTTTTTCTCCAAATACAGTGCCTGCGCTAATTTCAATCAGGAAACCAATAACGGTAAATCTGCTGGCTATGTAAGAAAGTTTTTTTTGTTATAATTTGCTTAAATCTTTATTTCAAAAACTGACTGTCGAAGAGAGAGGTTTCCCTAAGAAGAAAACTGGTGCACTAAATTTGTCATTCAACAAACTCCCTATACGCCTGTTCGCTTACAAGCAAAATAAACCCCCAAGAGATCATTTTTCTCCGCGAGGGCGTGGTGGGGGGGGAGGGAAGTAATTCCTAGTAATAGGCTAATGGGCTAATGTGCCGCTGGACCGGGTCGCATTTCACGACTGCATTGACTAGAATGGGGCTGTACTTTCATTAGAGTTACTAGAATGGGATCGCACATTTGTGGGATTTGGGGATCAGAAAATTCAGGTAGGTACTGGTAGGGATTTAAACATGAGAAGATTTTTACTTCATTAAAGTTAACCGATGAGTCAATAAATTTCAAAATGACCTAGTTAAAAGGCTTTATAAGTTATATACATAAAAAGAGAGTTACCAAGTTGGGATCGAGAAAAAAAAATCCCCAAAGTGACTAAGATAGGGTCTTTATTTGGCCACAGGGTAGACTATAATGGGGGAGGGGTTCTGAGAGGCCAGCGGCACATACTCAGCAAAAATTAACGTAATTAAATCCAAGCAAACTCTTTAGTTTTAGTTTCGACTTATACGGGAAAGTTAGCTGATTGAAGGATATAAGGTGTTACCTGTCTAACAACTTGCTCATTTTCATCCAGGCTAGCTTTATACAACCCTTGTAACAATGTTTCCATGTGTTGAGTTGTGTGGTCCTCAGCATAAAATAGCAAGAAATAAACTAAAGAAGAAGCCTGAGGAAGGGAAAAATCGCAGCTCTGTTAGTACAGGTGTCACAATTTTACAGAGCAGATCCCGCCACTACCACCACCTTTCAGCTAGCCTAAGAAAACGGCCGACATTTTGCGACGCCACTACTGGTTTCCCCGCGAAATGACATCTGAAGAACGAGTGTAAATCTAGGTAGTGCATCTCAATGGTTATGCCTCAACCAATCAGAAGCAATACCCAGACCTGGATAAAGACATGTCATCAGTATGAAGTTTCTGAGTTCGTTCCTCGCATGTCATTTCGCGGGGAAACCAGTGGTACCGAGGGGTCGAGAAATGACGGCTGTTTTCTCAGGCTACCTTTCAACAAATGTTTCAAAGATTGACGTGTTTTGTACAAACTTTCCTCACACACAGAACCAAGCCGTTTGGAGGGCAATTTTTAAGGAGCTGGAATGAAATCTCGTTGAAATGCACAACGCTGCAATTAAAACATCTTCTGATTTGTTGTTTGCAATGCTTATGGAAGCCATCAAAAGTGAGACAAATTTGTTGACTTGCAATGTTAGTGCGATCTTCACCGAGTGTTCATTGATTAAAAGAGATTAGGGCGAGAACAAAGAATCACACTCTTCAGCACGTTTTTTTTTACTTGTACATACATTGAAAATACCCAAAATTAGTTCAGTCACAGTTTTACCATTCAGTTTAGCTCAGTTTCATCTTCTTAATAAAATTCGGTAAATCATTATGCAGTTCAAAGAGATATGCAGTGAGTTAATCATCAAAAAGTTCACATCAAAAAAATTGCCAAACAACCTTAACTCTTGTGTCAGCAGTCCAGTCAGCCATGTCTCGTAGTGCAGCAGGTAAAATCTTAGACAAATTTCTTTGAACTAAAACCCTGCATCCCAGACTGGGGCGTGTCATACCTATGGAATGAAAAAAGCATAGCACAACAAAGCAAAAATTCTCGATAATTTTCCTAGCCTAAAACATTAAGCATTATTAGTCTCATTTCTTCCTGGGATAGTGAAATGAGCAGAATACGGGACCACGCGTGAAAATTACCACCCTTCAGGAAGGTGACACTCTTCACGTATCACCTTCTTCGTGCGCTGCGTATCTCGCCTGTTCTACTATAACTGAAGAAAATGAGGTGCTTCTTAAAGTCTATAAATTTCCAGACTGTAAAACTTATGTATCTGAGAAGCATGGCATTTATTGTTTAAGTAATGTTACCTGTCGAAAGCTTGTAATCTGGGATTTCCTCAAAATCCATTTTGTCTTTTAAATCATCTTCATTCTCTGCTGCAAACTGTTCACCCACCTGTCATACAAGACCAAGTGTGCATGTATCTTTATTTTTTTATTTTGCAGTTATGGGAGTTATTTTAACATCTTTCACTTTCTCTCCTCGTCACTTTTTTTGATTCTCTTCCCTTGTCTTACTTTTGCTGGGAAATTAATGCTAAGCTTCAAAGCCCTTAAAAATATTCTAACAAAAGTACAGGGGTTAGTGGAGCACGATTCTCATTTTCATTTTTGTGTCAAAGTCACATTATTTTATGTTGTCTCTGGCCTACTTGTTGTGGCTGAATCTCGCACTAAAAGATCCCAATCATTATATGGTACATACCAGTAGTACATAAGACAGTAGCCTGTGAAGCAGGCACTAGGAAATAATGGGCAGAAGAAAGAATCGCAAATGGGGTGCATGTGCCTCTGTCGTGTTAGTAGCCTGTGTAGCAGGCGCTTGGAAATAATGGGTACAAGAAAGAATGGGGTGCGTGTGTCTCCATCACATGCACCTTTCTTTTCTTGTGTATTACTTCCAAGCACCTACTACACAGGCTATATATAAGAGACTTTTCACTCAGTCATTTACAGGCAGCTAAACTGGGTGTGAATGGGTTAATGACTGATACTTGTCACATAATAAGAAGCATTTTTATTACCTTTTCCATGAGCTGTCTTGCCTGCTTCTGAATATCAGGCATTTCATCAGACAAGCCTGTCATCAATAATGGCAGTAACTTATGGAAATATGAATATCTACAAATAACAATGTGACTGATAAGTTTTCCAATAATAGCATTAGTAAATGTTACATGTCAAAATTATATTCAGGTTAAAATTTTTTAACCTGCTGAGTTGATTCTCAATTTCCTTTGTCTCCTAGCCCTAGAAAAAGGAAATTGAGAATCAACCTGGGTTAAAAAAATTTTAACCTGAATATAAGAATAAGAATCAGTTGAAGGGCTCCATCAAATGTTTAGGGATTTTCTGTTCTGATGAAAGGATGGAGCACAGATTTTTTGGTGAAATCCAGGTAATATGTCAATTTAGATTTATTTGAATGGTCCAAGATAGTGGAGTACAAGTTTCCAGGGCATAAAAAGTGAGTGTTACTTAAAAGCCAGACAACTCCATCTAGCCTCTAGAAGCAGCTGACTTTCAGAAAGCCTTAACAACATGATTTGGACTAAGTGTAGTGCCCTGACTGGACTTTGCTACACTCTAAAAAAGATTAGATTACCTAAAGGATTCCATATATGACATCTTGGGTGCCCAACATATTTTTGTTTTAAACACAATGTACCATGGTTCATAAAGGTTTCATAAACTTTTATTCAAGAACTTTTCCAGAAATTTTGAAGGACTTAATAAGAAAATTCAAGAAGTTAATTTTCTCAGGTGCACACATTATTTTGTCACAAATATTACATATTTTGCACAGTCATGCCAACAAACCAATACCTGTAAGTACAAAAAGATCCAAATACATTTTGAATAAATTTCATGCTTCAAGCTCCTTCAAGCAGCTGTGGTTTTGTTTGCTAAGAGTGCGGCTGATAGACTGACGAATACACTTGTAATGGGAAACTGCATTAAGGATGCAGTTACTTGGATACTTTGATTATTAAAGAAACACTGAATTGCCCTGACAAAGAAAGTTTTTCATCATATGAGACTTCGAATGTGTTTCTCAGCAATTCCTTCAATCTTTTGAAGTCAAACATGAACTTATTTTGTTGTAGTCTCAAGTGTTCCATGGGTTTTTAATACAATTCAAGTACCGCTTCTTCAAATTCAAGGAGTTTTCAAGAAGAAAAACAGTTTTTAAGGACTTTTTAACGACCTAGCAGTTTTTCTAGGAGTATTCCAGGCCGTGCAAACCATGTGTATGTAAGATTTTGAAGTTTCCCAAAATCAAAAGTTAGTTTCCCCAAGCTCCCTGGTGCTGTTAGAGTACAAACATAGCAGCCGCGCTGCTGTGTTCAGTCTTCAAAGTAAGGGAGTAGTAATGAACCAAGAGAGTGTACACGCATGCCTTACCATCTACTCCACTTTTCTTTAAAAATCACTGTACATGTACACTGTACTAACTTCTTATATTATTTTTTCACCTGTCACGAAGATTTAACAGCCAGTCACCAATAACACCAGTCAAAGCTGCTCTCACTGTTGGTGCACTGTCAAATGTTCTCTGGGCAAGATGTGAAACTACATCATCCACATTTTTGCCATCTCCGTAGCTAATGACAATACCTAACGTCTAGAGAGAGCAATCAAAATTTAAGGTCTAATTACTGTCAATTAATCCTCAAAAATACTTTCTTTTCTGACGCAAGAAAACTAGGGGGCACATATTTGAAAGGGGTGCTTATTTCTTCTGCAGGATTTCAAATCAACAAAAACTGAAGGATTAAACAAAAAAACAAGAACTATTTACAAACATCTTGCTACATAATAGAAATGACATACACGAACTTTGTCACTGAATGTTTGAACCACCATGTCTAAAAAGACCCATTTTAGTGCCCAGGATGGGAAAATGTAACCACTGAAAAACGCCACAGAATTGAAAATTGTGTTACATTTTCTACACAGTAATATTTTCTTACCTGTATACAAGAAACTCTGACTTTAGAATGTTGATGAGATAGAGACTTTAGAAGAGGAGTCACAAGTGAGTTGGCTTGGAAATAAAACTGCTCAGGAACAGCTGCAGCTAAAACATTTGTGCATCGACAACTTTCCTACAGGTATAAACAAAACCAAAACATCTCTTTTCCATTAATGAAGTCAACCTGCTCTCTAAATTTGATAAAGTTCAGCGTATCATGCATTATCATACAATGATGTTTTAGTTTTCTCATATAAATAGCCCTCTTATTCTTTGGGCTTAACCCTAATCAGTATGGTTAGTGCTTAACCCTAATTAGTATTTTTAGTGCTTAACCCTAATCAGTATCATCAGTGCTTAACCCTAATCACTAATAAAAATACTTAAAATATCAGACTGCTGGTCATTTAGTGTTTTCTAAATCTTGACCAGTTACTGGCAATATAGCCACAGCGAATAATAAAACCGATAAATTTATATATAAAATATTTCATTTTGTGAAATATGCTTGAAAGGTATAAAATGGGTGCTTGCTCCAGTGAGGCTATTTCATTGTCCATATGCTACGCTATTTTGCTGGTCTTGACCGTGTCCTGTTTTCTGAAAACCAACCCAAATATACAGAGGTTTCGAAATTTGCTTTCATTCTGCCATGGCATCATGATCAACTACAATGAATTCATTATGAATGCCTTCACTTCTCGGTCAACAAGTGTCGGCCAACTGCAAAAGTATACAGCAAGTGCAAAGTTGTTTGTTTGCTAATTAGACCTTTTTTTTCTATACATACTTTAACGAGATTGCAAATTATTCAGATTGCAGTTGAAAATCAGTGAGAGCAAAGCACATGGTAATCCACTGCACATTCTAAATCTCCCATTCCAGCATTTATAACCACAATTCCTTGCAAGTCTACTGCGCATCCTAAATCTTCCATTCGCACATAACCACAATTCCTTGCAAGTCCATTGTGCATCCTAAATCTTTCATTCACGCATAACCACAATTCCTTGAGTTTGGCAAGAAAAAGTGATTGAATGCCCCTATAATGTAATATTTTGCCAATTAGAGAGCTGCCTCATTTGTTCACTTCAGGCTCACTCACTGCGGCAGCAATAACAGGCCTGGTCAATGTTTATTTATTTATAAAATGGGGTGAGCCTGTGAGGCTTGATGGGCAGCCTGTGCAAACGATTAAATCCCAAATCTTTCTTACCTTTCTTACATCATGAAATGGATCAACAAGAGTTCTCTGAAGTATTTTTATCAAGTCATCGATATATACACCAACTTTTTCACCACATATCTCAATGACAGAGAGTAACATTTCCACTGTAGAAAGTCTAATTTCTTCACAAGGCTCAACTAATTCTGGCTGGCCTAGTCTTTGGACCACTGTTGGAATTATATATGGAAGAAACTGGGACATGTCCGCCACTTGCTTAGCAAATCTAGAGTGGTAAAGGTAAAGCATCAATGCAGGCATTAATCTTTTTACCTAGTTAAAAAATTAGAACATCAAAAGAAGATTAATTAAGCAAATTCAACAAGGACAGAAGACTAGATGTTGTGTTAATTTGACATTTTGGATTTGCTTCGACTAGTCAAACTGTACAGAGGCATCAACTTGGCTACAATAGCTGAGAAGCTTCGCGATTAGGTAGAACAAAATATCATCTCAAAGTAAATACATTCAACTCTCTCACAGCAAGTGCAACCACCTTTTAAACCAGAAATTGTTTTCTGTTTCCCGCAAGCAACCACCAGGCATGTTCACATATGACTGTTACATTATTACCATTCCTCTAAACAACAAAAAAGGTCAGTTTTTAAATACTGCTGACCAAGTGTATTGATAGGTTACAGCAGTTGACTTACAAACAAGATGGGTGTAAGTAAAATGGTGGATTGTAACAATGATGCAATGTGATAATTTTTATTCTTACATTGAAATTACCACTGCGATGATCATATCTTCATTTAAATTTGCATTCCCGCAGTTCACATCATCCTCACTGCTGCAAAATGTTCAGAACAAAGTTTCAACATGTTTCAAGCACTGCTCGATATGAAACATCACAATTTTGCCAGTTGTCTATTTACCTAATTTTGAGATGTAAGGTAATGATTTTAAGCAGTTACGTTAATCAGTTCAGTTTTAGCTTATTTCCGTGAGTTTTCCCATCGACAACCACCTTCCGTAACCAAACAACTTTTTTGTGCACCAAGGGTGGTCGCTTACGAGAGAGTTGATTGTATACTTTGAAGAGAATCAACTCTTTTTGCAGCAGTTGATGCAGTGAAAAGAAAAATGCTTTGTAGCCAATCGATTTCATGATACAGCAAAACAACCACACACCAAATTTTCATGTCTGCTTATAGTTTTCGGACAAGTTCACCATAAACTTACTCAGTAACCATCTGTAAAGAAAGCTCTCTGCATTTTTCAGTTGGGTCTGAAAACAGCTTCAAAACAGGCTTTAAAATTTCTTCAAAAAAAGTTTTCATTACTGAAGCAGATAACTTTGACTTCTTTGAAAAGACTTCTTTGCTAATCTTTTCCAGGGCTCGCTTTCTTGTCCCTCTGTTGTCATCTGCCAGACAGTTGATATCTCTTTGAAGGCTCTGGCATAAATATGGGTAAAAAAACGAAAACACATGAAACAATTTAATGACTAACTAGTAGATCCAACAGATAAGCTAAATACCAACAACTGTTCAGGGTCTCCCATAAGAAGACACGTCTGTAAGCTGGTTATCACTATCATCAACAACTGAATATCATCATCGAAAATAGCACATTAAAACTTAAAAGCTATGCGTAATCAGCAATCCCTTACACAATACACTCAAAAAATAAGAAATGAAAACAATGTGCCCGGGCATACCGTAATTAATGAAGCCTACACTGGATGTTGCCATGCTACCAGTTAACGTAGTGCCCTGCCACAGCACAAAGCACATGAATGGTACTACTGCGATTGTTTATTATTTTCTGCAACATTTTTGGCAAAACATTTTTTCCCTACATAATATCGGTGTTAAAACCAACTTAATTTATCCAAATTTTACCTGTAAAAGCGCTTCAAGAGTTTCTTTTTCTACTGGACTCAAATCTGCCGCCATCTTGGTAACGATGGACAAAACCAATTACTAACGGGGAGGGGGTACGGGTCAGAAAATTTGAAATCAAGACTGAATCGAGGGCTTTGATATCTTTGAAATAAACTGAGGGCCTACACGATGAAACATAATCTGTTTGAAAAAATGCAGGAAAGTTGAAAAAAAAATTGTCTCCCCAATATTATTTTATCATCGTTTATTAAAAATTTCGTGTACAAAAATATTTCGGAGAGAGGGAGAGGAAGTCGCGATGTTTTTCCCAGAATGCTTTGTAATCATCACAAGGTGCCAAGATGGCTTCCTGTGATGTAAAAACAGTTGTTCCCTTTCCCTCTTCTCAAATCCCTGATCCAAGAAGTGGTCATAGATGTGCGACTGACGATGGAAATATCTATGTATTTGGTGGTTACTCTCCGCACTTCGCTGATAACCTATTTCGGGAGTTGTGGCGATTCAATATTGCTACTAAAACGTGGCACTTTCTTGAAACCACTGGTCCCTTTCCAAACGAAGTTGCGTCAAGTTGCGTTGTTTTACACAGAGGAAATCTGATTGTTTTTGGCGGATCTGGAGTGCCTTTTGGTCTGTGTAATAGCAAAAAGCTTCATATTTGTTTCCTGAAAAAACGTCATTGGTTTGATCTCTCAGAAAGGTATTCTGAAAAGGCGGAAAGTGATGGAGAGGATATTTCGCCGATAGCTGGTTATGGACAGAGTATGGTTTTGTCCTGCGACAAAGATCTTTATGTTTTCGGAGGAACAACAGGTCTGGAGTTTAACTCATATTTGTATCGTTACAGCTTAGTGAAACATACATGGGATTACCTTAGGTGTGAAAATCCACCGATTCCACGATATCGACATGAATCTGTTTGCGATCACGAAAGGTTTTATGTTATCGGCGGTGGAATGACAAGTCGAGATCCCGAGGAATTTTTCCAACTCGACAAGATTCAGTCATTCTGTTTTGGTAGCAAGCGATGGGACGACCATGTTTGCTACCCTTGCAAAACTCATGGCTTCCCAAAGCGGAGGAGATGTCACGGTTGTGTGATTTTTAATTCGATTGTTTACATTTGCGGTGGTTATGATGGAGTTAACATATTTGATGATATATGGAGTCTGAATCTGTCAACTTTTCAGTGGAAAAAACTACCGCAGGTATTTATATGAAAAGCAAATTTGAATGACTCGTGGTCTACCCCCTTCACAATCAAAAGGTTGTAAGGTTCCATTGTACCTAACCTGCAACATGATTCCAGTTTAGATGTCCAAGGCAGATAGAGAAGACAAGTGAATGCCAGTTATTCTTACCATGAGCCAGGAATGGCCATGTATTGATATTGGTCAAATTAGAATTAACGGTATTTGGGAATCATAGCACACACATGCAATACATTGGATCGTTGCCCTCAACCATAATTTGTTTGGCTAGCTTAGTCTGTGGGGCTCATTAGGGCCTGCTGAAAACCAACCAATATCTATGAAAAACAATAGAACCATAGACTGCACTGATCAAAGGGGCAAATTCATAACTTCCACTTTAGATTTTAATTTCATTACTTAAGTCCTGGTAACTGATTTAGAACTTTTCAAAAGTTCTACCTTTTTACAGTTAGGCTAGTACAGGAAACTAGAAACCCACTGTTTCATTTTTGATAAAAACTGAAAATGAAGTATTCAAAACAGGAAAAGCTTTTTTTTTTTTGCTATTATGACAATTTTTTCATCCCCCCTCTAAGCAAAGAAAACCATGAAGGAAATATAGCTTGAAGGAGCTTGAAGCGTGAAATTTAATTTGCCTCTGAAAACCGGTTATCGTTTAGTTTTAGTATGTTATTTGCGCTTACAGGTAGAATTAGTTTGTTAGCATGCAGATTCTGGATAGCCTGTGAACAGGCTCACTTGGGTGAGTTCAGGGAAAATGTTTTATGGCGCACAAGAAGAATGGGGTGAGGAAAACTTTTTCCCTGCCCCATTATTCTCACGCCCTGAACGCTCCGTGGTCAAAAAATTTTCCATAAACTTGCACAAGTGAGCCTTCTGGCAGGCTAGATTCTGGAGAGGTTTAGATCTTTAGTATGGAATATTTTGGATCAAAAAGCAGAAGCAGACCTCACTCACACAAAACATACTTGTAACAGAGAGCTACAGTTTAATGAGAGGGAGTTTTATTCACAGGCTAGTTCATCTGGGCCCAATTGCCAATTTGCTAGACCAACATGCATTTTTAAGAATAGGCACTTTAACAGCTGTACTAGTAAAATATGAAGCTGAACCTCAGAAAACATATCCCTGCTTCAATGATCCCATTCCTTGCATTGCTAATTTGAGCTATAAGATGCCATAAGGTTAACCAGCCATTAAATACAAAGAAACAACAGCAAACAAGATACAGAAGATCTGTTCTGCCTTTGAACAGTCAGATGTCTCCTGTTTTCTATGCCTTTAGTTTTTCACTTAAATTTGTACCTTTTTGTCCCACAGGTTCTTCCTTATCCAGTTTATTTTCACTCAGCTACAGTGACACCATCAGGCTGTATGTATGTGTTCGGTGGCGTCAAGACTCTTAATTCCAATGATGACACCAGATCAAATGACATTTTTAAACTATGGTTGACACTTCCCTCCCTTGCTGAGAGGTCTTGGGAAGCTGTGACTGATTGCTTTCAAAACAAAATAATAACCATCCCTGATGTAATTCACCTGGGCATTCCACAGCACTTTTTGGAAAGATTAAAGTAATTAATACTAACAATTTAGGTTATTAACCCTTTAAGTCCCAAAAGTGACCAACAATAATTTTCTCCTAACAATATCCAGATGTTGCCAAGAGGAATGGTTATGAGAGCAAATAAAATGATCACTAAAGAGAAAATGCTTTGATCTGTTATCAAGCTCTCTCAACTAATTCTTTAAAGAAATGTATGAAGATCAGTATGGAGAATTTATATGTGGACATTGGGGCTTAAAGGGTTATGATCAGTGTTTGAATCAAGTCAGCTAGGTAGTAATGTATCAAAATAGCCCCTATTGTAACTAATAATATAATAATATTATTTTATTAATGAGACTTCTGGGCAAGCTCAAATATCAAAAATGATAGAGTGAGACTCCTAATATTAAGTCTTATTATTTGCTAGTTGGTAAGAATCTGTTAGTATTCTGTTGTAAAAATAATAATTATTGCTACTATAGCCTGTATGGCAGGTGCCGGTTAGTTATTTTGGTTGGTTTTTATAAACCATGCGAGATCACCCTAACAAAACAGGCACCTGCTACACAAGCTATTTTTCCTACCTTTAGTGTTAAGTGACCAAAACTTGGCTGCTCTACCTACTGTCAGTGACATGATAGTAAGTCACTACCACAAGCCAGTCAGGATAAAAGATTTGCAATTATAGAATTCTAGTAGAATTTTAGTCGCTGTGTAAAGAACTGAATTTCATTCCATCTGCTCTTAGCTTCATATGTTGACGCTGATAAACGACGTCACACAAAACGTGTCCGCATCGGCTCAGCTCATGTCAGCTGTTTTGGCAGTACAACGCATTAGAAAAGAGCAGAGGATTTCACACTCTTATGCGAACGCGCAATTGCAGATTCACTGACTCTAAACTGTAGCAAGAACAGTGGCAGATCTAGAAGAGGGGCCAAGGGAGCCCGTTGCCCCCCTTATTTTTAGACCAAACTGAGGCCCAAAGGGCTGAAAAAAATTTTTTTGGAGACCCCCCCTTATCTCAGGGTCTAGATGACTGCCCCTGCTGCCCCCCCCCCCCCTATCTGAAGGTCTGGATCTGCTACTGAAGAATAGGCAAAATGCCACTCGATGGGTGTGAACTCCTTTCTTAAAAAAAATCTGCAAGAATAGACTCAATTCATATCCTGAAAACACCGTGGAACTCGCTTACCGTAAAATTCCGAAAGTAAGCCCCTCCATGTATAAGCCCCTCCAAATATAAGCCCTCAAAACCGGTAACGCAAAAAACCCTTCATTAAATCGCCCCTCCAAATATAAGCCCCTGGGGGCTTGTACTTGGAAAATTGCCCTCAAATACAAAGTAAAATAAAGCAAAAACGGTATATTTACTTCCAACCATAAGGCTAGCCTAATCGATTTTGAAACACAAATTTCCCTCCGTAGAAAGGGCCTTTGAAAAACATAAGCCCTGGGGCTTACTTTCGGAATTTTACGGTATGTTTTGCAGAAATTCTACATAGGTCACTTTGCGTGCCTCTGCAAAATTTTTATCTGTGCCCCAGTAATGTAAGTAATCCTGACCTTGAAAAATATAGACATCAGGCCGAGGGAACCAATAGCGATCCTTTTCTTCCATACAATTAAAAAAATCAAAGACCCGATGGTTCTGGTTTCTAGTATATGTAGACATTTACTAGTCTGCTTGCCTTTAATAATATCACGCGACTGTCATTAAGATAAGGCGCATAATAGAAAATACATGCTTTTTATTTTTATCTGTAACATATTTATAATAAAAAATACAACATTTACAAATATAATCGTAGTTAATTGTTTACAAGCTTTCTCATAAGGTAATTAAGTGAAGTTATCATGTTTAAAATGATAAAAAGAGAAGTCAGCTAAAAATATTTATGGGCTAGGTTAGAAGTACAATCGGATACTTTGGTACTGAACAACACAATGTAGGAAGACTACCTCCATCGCACGGCTAATGCTGCCTTGTCCACTATACTGTCGTCTTCAGGCTTGATTCAGGCAACTCAGTTGTGCAACAGCACAACGTTGCTTTAAGGGTATTGTGGGGCAGTAGATAGTGAGGGTAAAAATAGACCGAATTATCCATCGAGGAGAAAGAGTCACAACTTATTAGATGCTGGCTGTAGAAAGTATTTAAGAAAAATTCAATACAAGGTCAGCCCCGACCTGAAGTAAAGTATCCACAAATATCGACGGACCCAGTTTCCTTCCTTCCTTTCGTGTTCGCGCTTTTTCAATTGACCACTCCAGAAAATACCATAACATACCATATCTTTGTTTGTCACCCCAAAATTTTGCAT